TTACATGAACCCTAAAAAGTGACCTTAATCATTAAACACTGCTTAAATTTATTTTAATCTTAAATAAGCCCTAAATCTTAATTAAATATCACTTCCAACACAAATCCATGACCCATATCCTAAATATCAGTAAAAGTTAAACAAGGTTTTGTTAGAATAAAGGAAAAATACTTGTCAATAGCACTAAGAACAGTGTCAGAATCGTCTGTGCTTTGTGATGCCTTTCGAATGTTCTATTCTATTCCTTCAATCTAGATTCATTCGGTTGGTGGGTGGAGTAAAGTTGTTTCCTTCTGTGGTCCTTTTCTGGGTTGTGGGGTTAATAGAAGCTTTTCTTTATTCTCAATCAAAATGCTTGGAGTCAGAAGGTTTCTTTACATTCTTCTGTCTTTTTTTTTTCAAACCTTTAGTCAGTGGTGGGGCCCACAAATAAAATTGGTAGCAAGTAGACTTTCCGCTCATGGGGGGTCCAAGTTGGACATGCCAAGTTGTAAAAAAAATCTGAGTTGGCACTGACATGTGCATATATGACAGAGGCCAATGGTGCACGTGCTACACGTGACACTCCAACATTAAATTTTGCCTCATTTCCTCAAACTCGAAGATATGAATGGTAAAAATCCATGTATTGTAATATGGAGGGTAAAACACCTCAAATTAGAAAAGTTAAAGGGCAAACGGATACCTTTTGCCAATAAATGTCGTAGGTGAAGGCCATGGGAGAAATGGAGAAGAAGGGTGATTGTGCTTCATATGGGCGTTTTTAGTAAAACAGGTCCAAATTTCAGATTGCTTAAGACAAGCTAAGGATAAGTAGGGATGTCAACGGGGCCTTGCGGGGTCGGGGAGTCCCTCCCCATCTCCGTCTCTGTCTCTGTCCTCGTCCCCGTCCCTTTCCCCACGAATGACGGGGACGGGGATCCCTGCGGGGATTTTTGACGAGGGGCAGATTTTGGCCCCGTCCCCATTTCCCACCAAAATATCTAAATATACACTTCCACTTCGACTTTGAGCAACAATAGCAACAGTGGCGCAGCAGCCGTGGCAGAGCAATGGCGGAGTAGTGGCACTGTGGCACAGTAGTGGCAGAGTAATGGTGCAGTAACAGCAGCGACCGTGGCGTGGCCGTGGCGCAGCCATAGGGCAGTAACAGCAGCAACAATGGCGCAACAACAGTCTTAGATGGATTTGGTTTGGCAGCAGCAATCCAGACTCCAATTCAAGGCAAAAGGGTGAGATGTGAAATAGAGAAGGGTAGAAAGGCGACAATGAAGGGATCGAGGGATTTAGGGTTTGAGATTTGTAGGGGAAGGCCAAAAGGGAAGGTGGAAGATGACTTAAGTGAGTGTGAGAGAGTTTGAGAGTGAGAGGCAGAGGAAGTCACTAGAGAAATGGAGAAATGAATAAGGTTGCTTAGGGTTAAAAGGATTGGGTTGGG